CGAGGAGGGCGGAGGTAACGGGGCTCTGCGGGGCGAGGGCGGAGCCGGGGCCCGCGGCCGGCGCGGCGCTGCCCTTGACAGCCGGTGCCCTTCGCTCTGGGAACGGGGCATGGCAGGCGCTCGGTGTGAGCCCCCGCCGGGACAGAGGGCCTTGAACCGTGAGCCCGGATCCCTGTTACAGACGGGGAGGGCACCCGCGCTCGGACACGGGGTTCATTAGTGCCTCGTTAACGCGCTAATTGTATTTACGGCGCTGCCGGCTCAGTAACGCTAACAGGGTGCTGATTGTTGTTCCGATTGCTGCCCCGCCCAGCCCGCACCTGGAAGATCCTGACGTTCGTGGTGGCTCTGCCCGGCGTGGCCGTGTGCATGCTGAACTGCTACCTGAAGGCACAGCACGAGCACGAGCGGCCCGAGTTCGTGCCCTACCCCCACCTCCGCATCAGGACCAAGGTACTGCTGCCCGCCGTGTCTGACAGCTCTCTTCGGCCTCTGAGAGGGTCTTTTCCTTTCTCCATCGCTGCCTGAGAGCGTGGCTGATATAACTCATGGCTGTTTCTTGAGGCAGTAAGAGTTTGTCACAGCTCTGATGAAGTACCCGTGGTATTCACAGGCCTTCCTGCTCCAAAGTCATCCTCCTAATGTCTTAATAAAAACATGTTTCAATCCTGGAGCTGCTGTACTTAAACTAATACAGATCTAAAAGGTAGCAGTGGAGATCCCAAATACTCAAAATTGGGGTCCTCATAAATACAGCAGAGTGGATGTTTAAGTAAGAGCAAAGACTGTGCTGTGTAGAGATTGTGGCTCCCAGCTAAGGGAGACAGTTTTCCAGCTCTTGCTTCCTACATCCTGGGAGCCAGCTTGCTTAATTCACCAGGCTGTCAAAGTGTGTGATCATAGAATCATTTCGGTTGAAAAAATCTTCTGAGATAGGAGTCCAACCTTTGACTCGTCTCCATCCTGTGAACCAGATCATGGCACTAAGTGCTATATCCAGCCTAAACACCTTCAGGGACAGTGACCTCAGCAGCCTGGGCAATTTATCTCAATGTTTAGCAACCCTTTTTGTGAAGAAATCCCTCCTGATGTCCAGCCTGAACCTTCCCTGGCACAGCTTGAGGCCATTTCCTCTTACCCTGTAACTAATTGTCTGGGAGAATTGATGTGTCTGTACTGTTCTGGGTTTCAGGTGCTTGTAGGGATTGTTCAGAAAACTGGCTTATTTTCTTTCTTCTTTCAACAGCGTTTCCCCTGGGGTGATGGGAATAAAACTCTGTTTCACAACCCCCACGTTAACGCTCTCCCAACTGGTTATGAAGATTAAAACCAAGATCCTGACAACAGCCAGAACTTTGTCTCTCCCCATCTTGAACAAGATTGTTGAGTGGGAGCCATCATTTTTGGGGTCATAGTTTCAGAAACTCGATGTTTCTTCTGTGATGAAGCTGAGTGATGTTGTGGCCCCCTGTGTGTACTTGTGATGGGGTCCTTTAAATAAACAATTCTGAACATGAATTTGGGATTTGACTTGTTTACCTGAATCCGTAGAAGTTTTTTAGTTCAGTGTTTGCATAAAGGATTAAAGTTTCCCCCAGGAGTGCCAGGAACAAAGGGCTTTGACTGCCTGGATGGGAACACATGTTCCTGTGTCTGGTAACACAAACAACAGGAGTGCATTTGGCATAGGACATAAACCAGTTTCATATTCCTCATGTCTGGTTTAACTGATGATTCTAAACTCACAGCCAGAAGAACATACATGTAGGTTAAAATTCAATATATACTGAAACACATTCTCCATTTTGCAATATTTATTAACAGTCATGAAGGTGATTTTCTCTTGGTCCCTTCTGGCAGAGGGAGTGGCAGCAAAGATGTTGAGCTAAGCTTTGCCTTCACACTTCACCTTCAGCTCTTTTTTCAGGTACATCAGCACATATCCTGCTCACCACTCTGCTTTCCATAAAGCTGCAGTCTGTACAAAGTCTCACACAGCTTTTGCAGAAGAAAACACAATTTTGGCTCTACTGCTTCTGTAACATGTGTGACATGTACTGTGTCATGCAGAAGCTGCTTGAAGTAGAAGGGATTACATGAGCCAACACCTGTGCTAGCACCACCTTCTTTTCAAGTTTTTGCTCACTATAATTCAACCATTTCCCAGTTCTTACTGTAACTTGTATATATTTTCCACGATGTCAAACTGAGCTCTATCTCAGCTATCATTAATGTGGTTCTCCCCAAAAGGTAGAACACAGCAGCTGCTTTGGCATCTTGTTGAAAGGAGTGATGGATGACAAGAGAGAATCAAAGTGGGTACTGCAAGATGCCCTTCTCCATGTTTCCATGTGATTTTTTTTTTCCTGTCTGCTTACCAGTAAAAGATTGCTGAGACTAGGTTCCCTGTGCTGAAAGTACAAGGCACTGATGGGCACAGTTGTTTTAAAGCTGACAAAGTCACATTTAGCCCCACATGAAAATCATAGAAAAGCAAACTGGTTTTGTGTGTTATTCCTTAAAAAATACATCAGCTGTCTTCAAGATGCTGTTTACAGATCCTTCTCTTTGGCCTGTTTTTATTCTGAGTGACACAAACCTGAGTGACACAGCACTTTGGCAACAGCCTGTTTTTTCAGTGCTGTGTTTAACCCCACTGTAGGAGCTCTCTGCACCTGAGAACAAGAACGTGGCTCACCTGGGTATGTGACTGCACAGGAACAACAGCCTCAGGCTGCAGCAGTTCCTGATCCTCTGCACAAGGCCCACAGGACTCAGTGTCTGGGGTCTGTGAGGGGCTGTGGTGCAGACAGGCCAGCTGTAATGTTTGAGAACTGCACCTTTTAAATTTTCTTTAAAGTAAAACCTTTAGAGGATTAGTATTAATTAAAAGCAGAGAGTGAAGCTTTCTTTTTTCCTCACTGTAATTTTAGAATTATGAAATTATCTTTTGTCCCCAGGCCGTAATACCTTTTACTCTTTCACTGTGTTGGTGTAAGGAGAGGGGCAAGCTTTGCTCCATCCCTGTGTGAGGATCAAACCACAGGGATGTGTAATGCTAAAGGAGAGGGTATTCAAGTTTGTGGATGTGTCAGTATCTCAGAAGAGGCTGAAGTAACCTCTGCATTAAAAGTTTTCTCTTCAGCTGCTGAGCAGGCCACTTCCATCTCTCCAAGGGGTCACAATCAGACTCTACTGCACAGTTACCTACTTGAACAAAATATAACCTGGTATATTTATTTTAGCCAAGCTGTTGCAGGTCCTCTAGTGCTTTAAAACCATCTCTGTAGCTGACACAAAACAGTGCTTAAGCCCTTCAGCATTCAGGAGGACATGAAACTAACTTCTTCACCAAAATTCAGCAGCATAGAGATGATAGAAAGTACATCAACCCCCTCCATATTCTTTTGAAACACTTTCAAGTGCTAGATAAATAAGCAAAATAAATCAGTCACAAAGAAACCACCTCAGCCCACTCCAACCAGCATTCCCCCATTACAGAGTACATTCAGTGGGAAGTTAAATCACATGGATTTTTAAGCCATTCAATGCTGAACCACCACCAACTTTCACTGGAAAGGAGGCAGCAGTTACCACTGCTGATGATCCAGAGGTTATTTTTTTCCTTTTTAGCCGTTTGTTTTCACAAGCAGAACATTCACCACTTCCTATAAAGCAATTAACAAAGGTCTCATCCAGGTGGCATCTGTGGTACACCTGGTGATGGTGCTTAGTCCAATGGCTCCTATTAGTGACTGCACCCATACAGCCAACATCAAGAGGAGTTTTCAGTTTTTCCTTTACTTTGGCCCATGAACTCCAGGCCCTCAATAGGTATGTCCTTTTCCTTGATTGCTTTCTGAAAAGAAGAAAAAGAAAACAAAAAAATTAAACTCAGCACTTCCTTATAGGGCTACATGATGTTACCTTTTGTACAAATCACAGAACCACAGAATCAGTTTGGTTGTAAAACACTTCTGAGATCGTCAAGTCTGACCTATGACCCAACAGCACCGTGACAACCAGACCATGGCCGTGCCCAGGCTCTCCTCAAACACTGACTACACCACCTCCCTGGGCAGCCCATTCCAACGTCTGATCACCCTTTTTGTGAAAAAATCCTCCTAATGTCCAACCTAAACGTCCCTGGTGGAGTTTAAGTATATAACCTCTCATCCTGTCGCTTGTTGTCTGAATAGAAATCATCTTAAAAAAAAAAAAAAAGTACTCTACTAGAAAACGTAATCTTAAAAGCTGGTTTGACTAAACCTTCAACGTTAGAGTTGCTGAAGGATGTAGTGAGAAGTCACTGAACTACAGTCCGTCTAACAGAAACGTGCTGCAGCCTCTACAGAGCAACCTTAAGTCACGTACAATAAAAACAGGAAACGCCTGTAAAATACTCCACGTCCTGACCGCCGGACACAGGGCGAGATAAACCCAGAGCTGCGTGTCGGGGTCACTGGTGAGACCCGACGCCGTTCCTGGGGTACCGGGACGGCGGCAGGAGGGCTCAGCGCGGGGCCAGGCCGCTCGGGGCCGGCAGTGCGGGGGCCGCGGGGCCGGACGCACCTGCACGCAGAGCTGGTAGCGCTTGAAGAGCTGCCCGCAGGGGTCGCCGGCGCTGTCGCCCTTGAGGAACTTCTCG